AATTCCACAAGCACCCAGGAGGCTGGGGTCTCAGTGGGTATCCAATGGGGTGCGCCGGGTCCTCTCCCCCGCCCCGTCCCCCTCCCGGAACCCGTGCCTTGACAGGGACTGCCTCCTACCTCATCGGCTCCCCTTGGGTTGCCTGGCCAGCCCAAAGCCCCCGTCGCTATGGCAACCACAAGCCTCACATTCTAGCGGTCATCTTCAGTCCGCCTCCTGAGTAACTCTAGCCAATGACGTCTTCTGTTTCTTTACCGTGAAAAATTGTTGGCCAATTGTTAGGGGTGTTTCAAAAACCGCAGAGAAGCTGCCAGAATTTAGGGTTCGGGTTAACTACGTCAGGACCGGTGGGGAAACGTATTAGGGGCTTATCTATGCGACTCCTCAAAAATCTTGTGATAGACCAAAAGCCTTAGAAGTTTGCTCACCCGGAATCCTACTTCGAGGAATAAACCTAAGAGAACTAACAATCATCCAAGCCTTGTTTTTAATAGCAACAGAAAAAGGATTGAGCCGGGCAACTATATAAGGGCAGCCGAGCGGTCATAGTCATTTTGTCACTTCCCTGCTTAGAACCTTCCTAAGGCTCCCCTTTAAATTTAGGATGAAATCCAAACATCTTAATATAAACTGTCCCTGGCCCGTCCCTCTGATGGCAGACAGCCCCTACCACCCACGCCCCGGGAAATTCTCACACCAGCCACGCTGTATTTGGGCAGTTCCTGGCCTATGCCAGCCTCGATGTACTCTCAGGTGTTCCCTCTGAGCTCTCTGCTTCGGGGTCTGAACCACAATTGGCTTATTGGCTTTGTTACGGAAGGACAGGCAAAAATTATACATACATATATATATATTATATATATATATAATATATATATATTCTTTTATATTTGTATATATAGCCCCAAGACTTTGGGGGGAACCGGGTCTTGAAGGATGTGTAGGATTTGAATACATAGTAAGAAAGTGGGGTGGGGAAACAGCAGGAGCAAAGTCCGGGAGGTAGCTCTGAGAATAAGGCGTGAGGACGCCTGACAGGCCGCCCAACTGTCGTGCAGGTGGAGGTGAGCGTCACCTGAGCTCTCCAGGACAGCCAGAGACTGGGAGCGGAGTGTGCTCCATCGTCCTTCCTGTGGCCGCTAGAGGGGACCCCATCCAGGTGAGCGCAAAGCTCCTGCGAGTTGCGGCTTTCCTCTCGCTTTGCCCTACGCTTCAAGCAAGCTTTGCGGCGCAGCTAACGCCCGAAGATGTCCCGCCCACCCCCTCCTTGCAGCCATTCGCCTGCGTGAAGAGCCCGGCAGCCTCTGACTGGCAGGCGGCAGGGCAAATCAAATCGCGGCCTTTGAAAGCAAAACACTGCAGGACCCAGGCAGCACTGAGTTGGGGAATTAAGGAGGCTGTGCCTCCGGGTTGAGCGAAGAGTCGAAGTCCTTTCTCAGAAACCTCTGATAGGTGGGCCTTAGAGGAAACGCCGCCGGTGAGTAGTGATTAATACGGAGGGGGAACTTGAATTCAGCCTTTGTTTCAGGAAAAGCGAATGCATTTGTAATCATCTAATACCCTTCTTGCTGTTACCAGCCTTATCAGTTTGGGTCTCTGCCTCAGAATGTTTTTTCCATTTTTGCATCGAGGGTGAGAGGATGGGCGGGAGGGTGGGGGAGCATGGTTTTGCTTTAATAAAGGCGATGCCAGGCTTTACCAAATTAGGAAGTGAAATGGATTAACTTTGCCAAAATTATTCCTCTGTACGCCGGCTCGGGCTTTCCTAGCAGATGGTGGAGTTAGCAGGTGGACTGAGAGGAAGCATTCTTGATCTACGCTGCCTGCTGGAAGTTGTAGTTTTCAGCGCCATGGGAGGGGACTGAAATCAGCCAAACCCTAGGAAAGGAAAAGCAGTTGGCATCTAACTGGCACTCACCAGCCAGAAGCTGAATCGTCAGGTGGTAGGAAAAGGCGTGGTTTATCTATTTTTTTCAGATGGAGTCAAATTCTAATGCAGACCCTACTCTTAGCAGCCATGAGCTATGATTCTCTCATCTGTAAAACCTGCTCGGTGGGTTGGTGAAATTATTGATTGAGATAAGAGAGACAGGGTGGAGTGGAAGCAAGCATCTAATAAATTATCTTTTCTTCTTGAGGACTCTGCTCACTGGTGGCGGTGAAGGCCTCAAAATTAAGGGGTGGCTGGCAACACAGAGTTGGTTATTTGCCTCTTGGGCATATGTGAGTCCTGGGAAGGTGCTTTGAAGTCAGGAAAAAAAGAGTCACTAGGCAAAGAATGTATGCCATATAAGGGAAGACAACTTGCAAACTGTTTTTCCAGGGCTTTTAGTCTAAACTGCTACCCAGCTGAGGGAGAGCCTTTTATTTTTTTGTAGACAATGCCTCACAGGCCTGGGGGTTCCTGAGGCTGAGAGAGAAGCTACTTTTTAACAGCAAATTAAATGACAGTAACAACCACCACCACAAACAAAAGGGAAAACAAATCCACCTGGGCAAACCAGCTGGTCTAAATGAGGTTAACAGGCCTGGATTCACATCACCCCCTTGGCATGTCCCCAAGGCCTGTTTGCTTTCTCTGACATCCTGTAGGTGAGGCTGGGTCTATCTGCTGTATCTTTGGAGGTGCTGTTGATTAGGCCTGTGTAAGTCATTCCATTCTTGACTGTGAAGAAGCCACAGTGCATCAGGTGCTTGACAGACTTGCCTTTAGCTAGACAGTAGATATGTATGGAGGGCATTATGCCAGGTTCTGAGCTAGATCTGGGGAGGGAGCAACCAAATGGGATTCAGCAAACGTTTTCCCAGAGTTTGTGTTCCAGTGCC